ATCCTAATGATTTTTGGCATAAAAGAGAAATGTATAATTGTGACCCATACAATGTATTGTTGGCTATTGCTACAAATATCCCCCAGCGACTCAACACTGCTTTTGTGCTGCAGGGACACATATCACTATTTGGTGAGCAGAAGAGACTTCTTTCAAAAACATTAATTGTAATTATTCCAAAGCTTTTGACCGGTCCCATAAGGCCCACACAGACTACTGAAACATTTCCCCTCCATATCACTGATAACCAAAAGAGATCTCAGAAGATTAAAAGCTGGAGAAATGCGCATCACTTTTAATTCTCAACTGCGTAATTCTTTCATGTGTTGCAGTAACACAGGCTGATCTCGGCCCTCTTTAGTCTTCACACAGAACAGTCTCGCGTCGATTGTCTCGCGTCTAAATCTCCGTGGACTCGATCCGCTCCAGGCGAGTAGGTCCGGGCCACGGAGGCGCCAGCTGATGCAGGATCGGTTTGGGATCGTCGGCGGTCAGCGGAACAGGGATGGAGAGACCGACGGGCGATCCGGGCCTGGGGCCCAGTTTAACGCCGACCCGCTCCTCCAGCGCCTGATACTTCAGCACATGCTCTTTCTCGCCCTGCAAGAATACAGTAAAATTTAAAAATATTATTAGAATTTAAAACAGCTGTTTTCTATGTGAATATGTGTTAAACTGTAATGTATTTCTGTGATGCGCAGCTGTATTTTCAGCATCATTCCTCCAGTCTTCAGTGTCACATGATCTTCAGAAATCAGTATAATATGCTGATCTGCTGCTCGAGAAACATTTCTGATTATTATCAATGTTGAAAACAGTCGTGCTGCACAATATTTTTGTGGAAACCGTGATGCATTTTATTTTTCAGGATTCACAGATGAATAGAAAGTTCAAAAGAACAGCATTTATTTGAAATATAATTTTTTGTAACATTATAAATGTCTTTACTGTCACTTTTGACCAATTTAATGTGTCCTCGATGAATAAAAGTAATTTATTTATTTATTTTTTCTTCTTAATATGTGAACCTGGAGCACAAAACCAGGTATATTTGTAGCAATAGCCAACAATACATTGTATGGGTCACAATTATAGATTTCTCTTTTATGCCAAAAATCATTAGGATATTAAGTAAAGATCATGTTCCATGAAGATATTTAGTAAATCTCCTACCGTAAATATATCAAAACTTAATGTTTGATTAGTAATATGCATTGCTAAGAACTTCATTTGAACAACTTTAAAGATGATTTTCTCAATATTTAGATTTTTTTGCACCCTCAGATTCCAGATTTTCAAATAGTTGTATCTCAGACAAATATTGTCCTATCCTAACAAACCATACATCAATGGAAAGATAATTCATTGAAAAAAATGGACCCTTATGACTGGTTTTGTGGTCACATTTTACTGCAAACTATGAAATAGTATGACAGTTTCCACAAAAATATTGGGCAGCACAACTGTTTTCAACATTGATGATAAAGGTTGGGGACAGAGTGAGGGTCACCAGAACGGGGATGGAGAGGCTGACGGGTGATCCGGGCGATCCGGGCGAGGTGCCCAGTTTGGCTCCGAGCTGGCCGACCCGTTCCTCCAGCGCCTGGTTCCTCTGCAGCGTCTCCACGTAGCTGAGCTGCAGCTGCGCCTGGTACTTCAGCACTCGCTCCTTCTCTCCCTTCCAGGTGTGCCGCTCCTGAGCGAAGGTGAGCACCTGCCTCTCTCTCTGCTGCCGCTCCAAGTGCAGCTCGCCCTGCAGTCTCTCCAGCTGCCGCCGCAGCTCTCCGGCCTCCTGCCGCTGCGCTTTGGCCTCGTCGCTCTGCAGGCTGAGGAAGCTGTCGATGGGCAGGGCTTCGGGCGAGCGGGGCGAGTGCAGGCCGGCCCACGGTAAGCTGCTGCAGCCGCTGATGTCCCTCAGACACACGGCGTGATCACTCCTGCAGCTCAGCTCGCTCAGAGCCCGCTTGAGACCCAGAACCTCGGCCTCGAACACCACCAGCTTGTCACGCAACATCGACACCTGCGGAGAGAACAAACCAGAGCTCACAGCATGTGCTGAGTATGACATTTCATTTAAAAATCACATATGTGACCCTTGACCACAAAAACAGTCATATGGGTCAATTTTTCAAAACTGGGATTTATGCATCAGCTGAAAGATATATATATATATAGAAATGAAAAAGAAGTCAAATGCATGGCAGTTTACTTTAACAAATAAGCTTAGTAAGAACTGTGTTGTACAAAGTTTGTGTGCAAATCATACTTTAATGCAAAAATCTAATTTTGATTTGAGTCTTCAAGCACAAACACACAGTCAACTTTAATGCTTATTGTTAGAGGTTTCAGCAAAGCACTAAGCTCATGCATCAGCATTAGTAATAGTTTTATTGTTTGTTATTATTAAATACGACTTTAGTCAGGATCATATAAGTGTGGTGCGTTGGATATGAGTGTGTGTGTTTATGTTGCGCACCTCTGTCAGCGTTCTCTTCAGTTCTCCTTCACATCTCTCCAGCTCGCGGCTCTTGTTGGTGTACGAGTCCTTCAGGCCGATCATGGTCTCCTCGCGTTCCTTTATCTGGCCCTTGAGCTCCTTCAGCTGGCCCCTGAGGGCCACCATCTCTCCGGCGCGCTGCGTAACCTCGTTCTGACTCTCCCGCAGCTGCTGCTTCAGCAGAGAGATCTCGCCCGCTTTCTGACACAGCTGATCAACACGAAGCAAACCAAAGCCATCACTGCTGGGTCTCATAGGCTGCGCTGCTTTAGATTAGTCTGCTGTATGTTGCTCTATCAGTTCCTGAACTCCTTAGACTTAAACTGTTTACTTGAAATACTCCCAGAAATTTCAGTCAGTGTAATGAATAACAAACACTACTGGTTAAAAGTTAGGAATCATTAAAATTCGTTTCTTTTCTGCTCACCAAGGCAGCATTTATTTGATCAAAAATACAGTAAAAATTTGAAATATTATTACCGTTTACAATAGCCTTTTTCTAGTTGTATAAATAGCAAAACGTAATTTATTTCTGTGATCAAAGCTGAATTTTCAGCATCATTACTCCAGTCTTCAGTGCCACATAATTCTTCAGAAATCATGCTCATATGCTGCTTTGCAGCTCAAGAAACATTTCTGATTATGAAATTAATACTTTTATTAATCAAAGATGAACACTACATTTTACTATACACCTGTATATATGTTGCAATAGAAAATGGGTATTTTGAATTGTAGTAATATTTCACAATATTGCTGTGTTTTTTATTTAATTTTAATTAAATAAATTCATCCCTTGGGGTGAGCATAAACATGAACAAATCTTAATTACTCAGACTTTTGACCGGCTACAACCGGTACATAAGGTTAGAGTAAACTTCCATAAAATCTTTAGCAGACGTTTTTATATAAAATATGCTCTTTTATCTCTAGAGCAGGAATTCACAGTTTGTTTGTTTTTGTCAGCCCCACTGAGACTTTACGTTCATATTTCAATAATTTATCAACACATTTGCATTTTTTTTTCACTTTTTTGTGTTTTATTGACTGTTCTTATTTTAA